TTATAAGTTGTGCTCTTAACTTGGAACCATTGAAGGATTAAGATTTAACTAGTTCACACCTCAACTAAAGGCTTTCCTAATAACAAGATCAAATTTCTTATTTAGTTATAGAGTTATCATGAAATATGGAAGAAGATATGATCAAAGCAGAACAACTACAGCAGTCAAAAACAGAGGTAAATATAAAAATATGAACAAGATAGAAAGAGACCATAACAATGCTGGATGACAATCCAACTAACTACCAACTGAGCTATTCCACTGTCCAAGCAGATGACAATCCAATTCTCTATCAACTGAGCTATTCCACTGTCCAAGCAGATGACAATCCAACTCGCTACAGACTGAGCTATTCCACTGTCCAAGCAGATGACAATCCAACTCGCTACAGACTGAGCTATTCCACTGTCCTAGCAGATGACAATCCAACTCGCTATAGACTGAGCTATTCCACTGTCCTAGCAGATGACAATCCAACTTGCTACAGACTGAGCTATTCCACTGTCCAAGCAGATGAAAATCCAACTCGCTACAGACTGAGCTATTCCACTGTCCTAGCAGATAACAATCCAACTCGCTATAGACTGAGCTATTCCACTGTCCTAGCAGATAACAATCCAACTCGCTATAGACTGAGCTATTCCACTGTCCTAGCAGATGAAAATCCAACTCGCTACCAACTGAGCTATTTCACTGTCCTAGCAGAGGACAATTCAACTCGCTACCAACTGAGCTATTCCACTGTCCAAGCAGACGACAATCCAACTAACTACCAACTGAGCTATTCCACTGTCCAAGCAGAGGACAATTCAACTCGCTACCAACTGAGCTATTCCACTGTCCTAGCAGAGGACAATTCAACTCACTACTGACTGAGCTATTCCACTGTCCTAGCAGAGGACAATTCAACTCGCTACAGACTGAGCTATTCCACTGTCCTAGCAGACGACAATCCAACTCGCTACAGACTGAGCTATTCCACTGTCCTAGCAGAGGACAATTCAACTCACTACTGACTGAGCTACTCCACTGTCCTAGCAGAGGTCAATTCAACTCGCTACCAACTGAGCTATTCCACTGTCCTAGCAGACGACAATCCAACTCGCTACAGACTGAGCTATTCCACTGTCCTAGCAGAGGACAATTCAACTCGCTACAGACTGAGCTATTCCATTGTCCTAGCAG